TCTCCTGGGCTTAAGCGATTCTCTTGCCTTAGCCTCCTGAGTAGCTGGACTACAGGTGTTCACCACAACACCCAGCTATGGCTGGGGCCGGGTTCAAACCTGCCACTGTGGTATATGGGGCCGGTGCCCTACTCACTGAGCCACAGGTGCTGCCCTGCCAGGCTGGTTTTTTTTTTTTTTTTTGAGACAGAGCCTCAAGCTGTCCCCCTGGGTAGAGTGCCGTGGCATTACAGCTCACAGCAACCTCCAACTCCTGGGCTCAAGCGAGTCTCTTGCCTCCGCCTCCCAAGTAGCTGGGACCACAGGCGCCCGCCACAACGCCCGGCTATTTTTTGGTTGCAGTCGTCATTGTTGTTTTGGCTGGTCCGGGCTGGGGATTCAAACCCCCCACCTTAGGTGTACGTGGCTGGCGCCTTAGTCGGTTGAGCTATAGGCGCCAAGCCCTGCCAGGCTGTTTTTAGAGATGGTCTGGCTCTTGCTCAAGCTGGTCTTGAACCTGTGAGCTCAGGCAATCCACCCACCTTGGCCTCCCAGAGTGCTGGGATTACAGGTGTGAGCCACCACACTTGGGCTCATTTTGGTAATTCTTTTCCAAAGATATTTCACAAAATCTGGCCATGAATACTTGATTACTATTTATTTTTATTTCAAATTGAGGGTACAAATTTTTAGGTTACATTGTCCTCACTTCCAAGGTAAAGTTTCATGATTACTATTTCAGCAAAAAGATGCTCACTTCACTGCCAAAGAAGTATAATTCCAACAGAAATATTGGTTGATATCTTTTAAGTTAACCAGTAAGACAAAAGTCAAAATACTATGTTGCAAAAAAAAATACTATGTTGCAACTTCAGTTGCCAATGACATTAGCGAGGTCTTTGCTGAATCAGATGATAGTTTTCTTATACTTCAATTTCTTGTGCTACTCATAATGAAAAGGCCACAGTTGAGCCCATATTTAATTCTGCATAATTAATATTTTTCTCAACCATCCTTTTTTTTGCAGTTTTTGGCTGGGGCTGGGTTTGAACCCGCCACCTCCGGCATATGGGGCCAACGTCCTACTCCTTTGAGCCACAGGCACCACCCCAACCATTCTTTTTTATAAATTAAACTTTATTGGATTATGGCCACACTCATTCTTTATGTACCACTCTTGCCTATGAAAGTCAAGTAGTTATGACAGAGACCTTATGTCCTTTAAAGTCTAAAATATTTGCTGACATTTTGTCTAGAAAAATTAACAAGATAATAAATCAAGCCCTGACTTGCAGCATTTGCCAATTTCCATGGTGTAAATATTCCCATTACAATTTTTTTTTTTTTTTTTGGAGACAGAGTCTCATTATGTCGCCCTTGGTAGAGTGCTATAACGTCACAGCTAACAGCAACCTCCAACGCTTGGGCTTAAGTGGTTCTCTTGCCTCAGCCTCCCAGGTAGGTGCAACTACAGGCACCTGCCACAACACCTGGCTATTTTTGTTGTTGTTGTTGCACTTGTCATTGTTGTTTTAGCTGACCCAGGCTGAGTTCAAACTTGCCAGCCTTGTGTATGGTGTATGTGGCCGGTGTCCTACCCACTGAGCTACAGGTGCAGCCCTATAGACAATTTCATGCTACCAATGTGATATCTCTGAACAGAGTTTGGAAAAGATGCACATATTTATGTAGTATTTCCATCAAGGAGATACATGGAAAGATAACCTTAGAAGCAGAATTAGTTGTAAAGTGAAAAAAAAAACCCAACTGATAAGCTTTTGGAGTATTTTTACTTTATTTTTAACATAATGGTAAACTTATATAATTTGATTTTTTTTTTTTTGAGACAGTCTCACTTTGTCTGGGTAAAATATTCTCTGGGTAGAACGCCCTGGTATCATAGCTCACAGCAACCTCAAACTCTTGGGTTCAAGCAATCCCCTTGCCTCAGCCTCCCAAGTAGCTGGGGCTACAGGTGCCTGCAATTTGATTTTTAATTATGGCATGCTTAACAACTGGCTCATGAAATTTAGTAATAGACCTTGCAAACTGGTAAAATCCAGCTGCAGCTCTATTTTCAAAAGGTAGCTTTGGGAAAGCCAGTGATTTGCCTACTTGTTAAGTTGCTGAGTCAAAATTCAAATCTAGGTCCAAAACCCTGAGCCAGGTTAGGTTTCTTGTGGGGGGGGTTGGTTTTTTGTTTTTTTTTTGAGAAGGGGGTCAAGCTCTGTCCCCCAAGCTGGAGTAAATGGCCTTAATCATTGCTCACCGCAGCCTAGGACTCCTGGCCTCAACAGATCCTAGTACCTTAGGCTTCTGAGTAGCTGGGACTATAGAGGGAGCACTATGCCTGCCTGATTTTCTATTTTTTTCTAGAGAAGGGGTTTTGCTATGTTGCCCAGGCTGGTTTCCATCTCCTGGTCTCAAGTGATCCTCTCGCCTCAGTGTCCAGAGTAAGTCTTCTTAGTGGGGAACAAGGGCCCTTGGGGTTTGGGGCAGACATCAGTTGAGGTAACTCTGCATGCAAGGTAAGTTATTTTCTATAGCACCATCCCATATTGATACTGCAAGCTCTTTAACATTCCCAGGCTTCCTTCCAGTTTTGCTAGAGAATTTTTTTTTTAGAGAATTGTTTTTAAGAGACAAGATCTTGTTCTGTTTTGCTGGCTGGAGTGCAGTGGCAGAATCATAGCTCACTGTAACCATAATCTTGCAGCCTTCCCAGAAGAGCTGAGACTAAGGGCACACACCTCCACCACACTTAAATTTTTTTTTAAATTTGTTTTTTTGAGAGATAAGGTTTCAGTATGTTTCCTGTATTGGTCTTTTAACTCTTGGACTCAAGGGATCCTCTCACAAAGGGCCACTGCAACTGGCTTTGCTAGAGTCTTTTTTATTTATTTTGCAGTTTTGGGCGGGGGCTGGGTTTGAACCCGCCACCTCCAGCATACGGTGCCCTACCCCTTTGAGCCACAGGCGCCGCCTGAGTCTTTTTTATTTTAGAGAGAGATAGAGAGAGTCTCAAGCTGTTACCCTGGGTGGAGTACGGTGGCATCATAGCGCACAGCAACCTCCAACTTGGGCTCAAGCGATCCTCTTGCCTCAGTTTTTCTTTTCTTTCTTTTCTTTTCTTTTTTTTTTTTTTTTTGAGACAGAGTCTCACTTATTAACCCTCGGTAGAGTGCTGCAGCGTCACAGCTCACAGCAACCTCCAACTCCCTGGGCTTAGCTGATTCTCTTGCCTCAGCCTCCTGAGTAGCTGGGACTACAGGAGCCCGCCACAATGCCCAGCTGCTAATTTTTTTTTTTTTTGCAGTTTGGCCGGGGCTGGGTTTGAACGTGCCGCCCTCAGTATATGGGGCAGGTGCCTTACCCACTGAGCCATAGGCGCCGCCCATTGCCTCAGTTTTTCCAATTTTTTTTTTGGAGACAGTCTCACTTTATCGCTCTCGGTAGAGCGTGTGGCATCATAGCTCACAGCAATCTCCAACTCCTGGGCTTAGGCGATTCTCTTGCCTCAGACTACAGGCATCCACCACAACGCCCGGCTATTTTTTGTGGCAGTTTAGCCGGGCCGAGTTCGAACCTGCTTTCCTCAGTATATGGGGCCAGCGCCCTACCCACTGAGCCACAGGCACCGCCCAGTTTTTCTATTTTTAGTAGAGACGGGATCTTGCTTTAGCTCAGGCTGGTCTCGCACTTGCGAGCTCAAGAAATCCACCCATCTTGGCCTCCCAGAGTGCTAAAATTATAGGCTTGAGCCACTGTCCCGGGCCTGGCCGTGCTAGAGTCTTGATGCTTGATGTCCTTGAAGCAAAATAAGCAGTAGGCTATTGGCCTAGGGTTGTTTCTTACCCAGATTGCAAACCAAATCTTAGACATTCTCCTAAGTAACTGATTAATTTTGAATCCAGCTCCAACCAATCACAAATAGTCGTCCATCCACGCCGTTAACTAGGGACCGCCCATGTGACCATAGCCAAATAAGGCAACCGCCTAGCTGCAGCCAATCAAGTAATTTCCTTATCTGGTGTTCAGGCTATCAAGCTTGTCACCTAAGCTGGTGGAGCAGAGGTCTCTGAACCAATTCTAGTTTGAGTGCTGTTGAATTAAAAAATCTCTTAATGCTCCAATAAACTCTAAACTTATTTTGGTCAAAATTTTTCTTTCAACAATACACATACCTCTCCAGAAATCTGTCTAGGATGTACAGTTGCAGGACGAAGAGAACTGGTTGGCCAGTCCATCTGCTGTTGGAAATTTAGCTTCATCAATTCTGAAAATCTTCAGAAAACTTGTGGTCTGGAACCCTAATTTAGTTGCAGTACAGGAATGGACACTAACAACGGGCATCATGCAGCTGCTAGGAACAGGGACAAGAATTTGGGGGCAGAAGGCCCAGGTTGGTAGGCAGGCTTCTTGACAGTCTCTAAAGCTTTCGCACATCTCTTATTCTCAATGCATGAAAGTCAGCTACAGTTGTTGGGAAAACTTGGTATCACCTGCCCTCGTCAAATTTTTTGGTCCATGTCATGAGGTAACTCAGCTTGTGAGGTGAAGCGACTTTTGAAAATAAAGTGGCCGAGCAAGACTGGAGCCAGGATTGATTGATAGCTTTTTCCACTACACTACCCAGACTCCTCTAAAACACCCTCCTTGGACAGAACTTACCCCCGAACACCAGGAACCTAGTTGGTCTACAGTTGAGCTTAGGCAAAGCCTCTGAGTGGTTCCTGAGTCAAACTGCGGTAACTTTTAGAGTCAGATGGGGTAAGGCCCAAGTCGGGAAGCACAGAGCCAAGGTTATGAGTATGTGCGGATCGAGAGGTGGACAGGCCGCATAGGTAGGAGCCACGCCTCTCGAAACGCCAGCGCCCTGCGCGCCAGGGCGACAAGAAAGCAGTGAACTTAGGGTACGTAGCCGGCGGCGCGCACGCTCACCCCGAGGCCGCACGGGAGGCGGCCCGGCGTGCGCGCTCCCGAGGGGTGGGCGGAGTCGGGGCGGGGCTCTGAGCCGAACTGGGGCGGGGCCGCCAGAGCAGTAGGTGCGGAGGCTTGGTCGCGACAGGTGCGCGAGGCAGAGCGCCCGAACCTGTGACAGGACTGGTAGAAGGCAGAGAAAAGACGGTGCTTAGCCAGGTAAGGCCTTCTCTTTCCACATCTTATACAACCAGAGAGTGCGCGAAGACCCCGGCTTCCCTCCACACCCTCTTTCTTCGGCGACTTCTGGGGCAGAGGGGATTCCGAGAAGCGTGAGCTCCTCCCCCTCGAGATAGAGGGTCGAGGAGACACGGATCCTCTGCTCTTTCTTCACTTCTGGGTACTTGCTGAGGCTGAGGAAGGCTGAACCTTTGCTGCCCGAGTTGAAATGACTCCCTTCTCTTCCATCGGAAACGATCCTTTCTAACTATATACTTTTTTTGGTGTGGTAGAGAAAGGTGGTAGTTCATCAAAATTCAGAATACCCTCTCAGGTAAATATTCTTACATGCAACTGCTTCGCTTCATTTTCAACCATTCCTTGTAAACTTCGATTTTTTTCCCCTTCCATTCCACCAACTGAACTCTGTGTAAGACACTTTCATGCTTTTGAGGAATGTTGAGAATATAGCAGTTCTTGCAGCTGGATGTGTTATCCCTGAAACGCTATAGTGCATATATTGCTGGCACCTGGCACCAACTTATGTACGTTAATGTAAGGTAACTGTACACCCCTGACTACACATATTAAAGCCTGAAGTTGTAGGTGCTAAGAGTGAACCATCTGGCACCCTTCCTCTCCTCCTTATAGGTGCTTACAAGAATGAGTTTAGCTGATACTGGTGAGAGATATTTGAACTACTATTGTCTTACACGTTATTCTAGTTTTCAGAAGTCTGCCTAATCTAGATGGTTCTATTGACTTGACTTTTTCAAATTAGTCAAAGGTATTAGAGAATTAATTAGTTTTTAAGACAATGCCTTTTTTAGATAGACCTCTGATTTTGCATGAGGTAGCCTTTCTTTTGCTCTTGATTTAAGTGAATAAACAGAGTACTGTTGATCTGCATAGTATTAATATTGTTCACAAATAATATTTCAGGAACCATGAAATAACACTTTCTTCTAAGGACTCATTTAGACACAAAAGAAGATGACCCTGAACAAGCATTTTCTAAGTTCTCATGACATTATAGCTTGGACAAAGGATGATCCTGTTTTAGGCTGACCTTCAAAAAATTATAGATTTCAGCTATGATTTAATAAAAAAGAATTATAGATTTGGCAGGGGAGAAAGTAAAAAGAGAATGTATGTTCATGTATATAGTTTTGTACAGATAAAACAACACATAATGTGGTGATTACTTTAAGAATTTATTTCATGGCTTGGTGCCCACAGCTCAGTGAGTAGGGCTGGCCCCATGCACCCGGACTGGTGGGTTCAAACCCGGCCCGTGCCTGCTAAATAACAATGACAACGACAACAACAACAAATAGCTAGGCATTGTGGCAGGTGCCTATAGTCCCAGCTAGTTCAGGGGCTGAGGTAAGAGAACCGCGTAAGCCTAAGAGTTTGAAATAGCTGTGAGCTGTGATGCCACAATACTCTACCAAGGGCGACATAGTGAGACTCTTGTTTCAAAAAGAAAAAAAAAGAACTTATTTCATTCTTTGAACAAAACAATTATTGAGTGCCTCTTGTGTCAGTCCAAAGTTCTAAATGCCCTACCTTAAAAAAGCTTAAAATCAAATACATTAGGCAGATCCATTGATCCAAATTAAAGTATTAGTAAGGTGATTTATATACCAGAAGTCAGCATGTGCTGTAGGAACACAGAGACTATAGATTAAAAAAATTCCCTCTTCTGCTTTTCCTTAAAAACAAAACAAAAACACATATACAAATGTGTGACTCTCTTCAGTTTATGTATTTGTAACTTATATATCTTACCTTGTCTTTATCCAACTCCATGGCCTTTTAAAGATGGATTAGGTCATGTCATTAATTCCGTGTCAGTAAATAGTTGGAGGAGATATTTTCACTATCTGTATTGGGCCCAGAAGTGTTGTTATCTTCAACTGGATAGTAATCCTTGAACTGTAGAGCATCTTGGAAGAGAACAGTATATTGGCAACATTAGCAAAACAGTACCATTTTGTAAAAATTACCTCATTGTTTAACTTTGTTTAACTTGGTATACCCAAGGTTTGTTCCAGACTCTGGTTAAAGGTAGGGCCAAATTTCAGCCTTCTAATTCTAATAAAAGAACGCTTTGGAAATGAAAATTATTTTATTTTATTTTACTTGTATTATTTTATTTTATTTTTTGAGATAGTCTCACTTTGTTGCTCTCAGTAGAGTACTGTGCTGTCATAGGTCACAGCAACCTCAAACTCTTGGGCTTGAGCAATCCTCTTGCTTCAGCCTCCAGAGTAGCTGGGACTACAGACATATGCCTGGCTAGTTTTTCTATTTTTAGTAGAAATGGGAGTCTCAGTCTTGCTCAGGCTGGTCCTAAACTCCTGAGCTCAGGCAGTGCATTCACTTTGGCCTCTGAGAGTGTTAAGATTACAGGTGTAAGCCACCATGCCCAGCCTACTTAGGGTTTTAAATTCTTGTCTTTTCTCTGGTATTTTTTACCAATCAACCATAATTAACTTAGAATCCCTATACCAGAAAAGGTCATCAAAGTCATACACAAAGATACAAAATAATATTGGGAGTGTGACTCCTACACACAAATCGGAAGAATTTGTCTTTATTAAAGTTAGCAACAAAACTAGTTTTCAGGCATCTTTTTTTTTTTTTTTGAGACAGAGTATCATTTTATCCCCCTCAGTAAAGTGCTTTGACAGTCATAGGTCACAGCAACCTCAAACTCTTGGGCTCAAGCAATCTTTTTGCCTCAGCCTCCCAAGTAGCAAGGACTGTAGCTACCCACCACTATGCCCAGCTATTTTTGGAGATGGGGTTGGATTACAGGTATGACCCACTGAGTCCGGCCCCCAGCCAGTTTTTTTTTTTTAAATAATTATCTTCTGAGAATTTTTATTATTATTATTAGTATTATTTTTGGCCAGGGCTGGGTTTGAACCCACCACCGCCAGCATATGGGGTCAGCATCCTACTCCTTTGAGCCACACGTGCTGCCCCCAGCCAGTTTTTTGATAGGAAGTTAAAGTAACTTTATTTTAGATTGTGTATAGTAATCTCCAGGTGAGGTTAAGTTACTTAACATAGACTCTCACAGTTAACAAACCACTGGTTGTAAATTAGTGATTTCTGCTTAATGATTATCAGGTTGAGGTTCTAGGGTAAATAGTACTCTTTCTTGGTAGAAACATACCATTGTGTTTATTCTGTAGCTAGATTCAAAGTCCTCGAGACTCAGTCAAATTATTGTACTAATGCAGGTGTCTTTTTTTGAAACGGACGGGATTGACCCAACAAGAAATCCATTATTTAACATGTCAAATGATTTCTGGACACACAAAACCATTTCTAGAGACTTTACACGTCCACTCATAAGAAGGTAATGTGTGGGTGGCACCTGTGGCTCAGTGGGTAGGGCACTGGCCACATATACCAAGGGTGGTGGGTTCAAACCTGGCCTCAGCCAAACTACAACAAAAAAATAGCTGGACGTTCTGGAGGGCTCCTGTAGTCCCAGCTACTTGGGAGACTGAGGCAAAAGAATTGCTAAAGCTCAGGAGTTGGAGGTTGCTGTGATGCCACAGCACTCTACTGAGTGTGATTAGATGAGACTCTGTCTCTTAAAAAAAAAAAAGTTAATGTGACACAATGAAAATGTATTTTTTTTTTTTTTAGAGACAGTCTCACTTTGTCACCCTCAGTAGAGTGCTGTGATGTCACAGCTCACAGCAACCTCCAGCTCCTGGGCTTAGGTGATTCTCTTGTCTCAGCCTCTGGACTAGCTGAGACTACAGGCACCCGCCATAACGCCCAGCTATTTTTTTGTTGCAGTTTGGCCAGGGTCAGGTTCAAACCTGCCACCTTCAGTATGTGGGGCTGGTGCACTACTCACTGAGCCACAGGTGCCACCCAAAAAGTACATTCTTTTGATTTTCTTTTTTAAAGAATTTGTTAATAATACTACCCTGAGGCTCAGCACCTATGGCTCAAGCGGCTAAGAGTCCATCCACATACACCTGGTGGGTTCAAATCCAGCCTGGGCCTGCCAAACAACGACTGCAACAAAAAATAGCTGGCGCTGTGGTAGGCACCTGTGGTCCCAGCTACGTGGGAGACGGAGGCAGGAGAATCGCTTGAGACCAGGAGTTTAAGGTTGCTGTGAGCTATGATGCCACAGCACTCTACCCAGGGTGACAACTTGAGGCTTTGTCTCAAAAAAAAAAAAAAAAAAGAAAGAAAGAATGAATAATACCCTGAAATTAAGAACTTTCTCTTTAGTGAAAAAATGATGCAACTTTTTTGTACTTCTGCTAACAAGGGTAGAGCTATTTTTCTTTTCTATGTTCTGTAACAGAGCTTATGATATTGAAAAATTTACAATCCCTCAAACTAGTTTTGTTTTGCACAAAGTATTGCTAATTTTTTTTTTTTTTTTGAGACAGAGCCTCAAGCTGTCCCCCTGGGTAGAGTGCCGTGGCATTACAGCTCACAGCAACCTCCAACTCCTGGGCTCAAGCGAGTCTCCTGCCTCCGCCTCCCAAGTAGCTGGGACCACAGGCGCCCGCCACAACGCTCGGCTATTTTTTGGTTGCGGCCGTCCTTGTTGTTTGGTGGGTCCGGGCTGGGGATTTGACCCCGCCACCTTAGGTGTACGTGGCTGGCGCATTAGCCGGTTGAGCTATAGGCGCCGAGCCAGTATTGCTAATTTTTATTTCATTAACCATAATTTAGTAGTCCTAATATGATTTCACTTAGTTTTAGATTTCCATAATTATTTTTCCCCATAAACTGAAATTCAAACTAATGCCACAGCACTTCTTTTCTTCATAGTCAATTTTATAGAGTGTAACATCTGCTCAGATTTAGATTCTATATTGAGCACTAAGGGAAACCTGTCTGTCTTGTCCATACATAGTATCCAGTGATCTCCCTTTAATGGTCCCTCACTGTACTCCTCTTTAACACTTTGGCAACATTTGACCAAGTGAATAACTTTTCCAATTCTT